CCCTCATGGGTTTTGCTTGCAGTTTTTAGTTAATGTTGGAGTTCAGCATCCTCAACTATCTGAGAGTTTTGTAATCCTGCATGAATCAGATTGGACAAACTTAGCAGTTCAATGACTCAGGATTTTATTGGTGAAATACAGCTAAATTCACTAATCATTCCATATTCATTTTGGTGGTGTTCATATGCGCAGTTAATGGAACCACCTTTGGGGCCATACACACCACCACTAAGTTATGGATCAATCTCAAATTCCTCTGACTCACACTGCACAAGGCCTGGAAATGAACAACTCTCCTTGGGAAAGTTCATTTGTTTTCCTTCCTTGATGGGTATCATAAGGATATATCTCACTGAGAGATGTGCTCCCATCCACCCAGAGTACCCAGAGATAAAACTATACTGATGCAGGCTTTCAGTTTGGCAAAAAACAAAACAAAATCCAAACGTACAAATACACACAGAATGGAAAGGTGGCTGACAGGCAGATGAAAGGGCAGAGGAATCATGGAACCTACTTTGCCCCAGTCCTGGGATGCTCTTCTTTGGGCCTTTCCTCTTAGTGAATAATGCAAACTCTGACTTCTTTGTAGTGGAAAGAAAGTGAAAGGAAGTGAGAAAATGTGGACCTTTGCACAGTCAACTCCTCAACAGCAGGATTTCTTAAACGAAGGTCCAGAGACCATCTCATCAAAATCCTGAGAGAAGCTGGACCAAAATGCAGATTCCTTGGCCCTGCTTGAAGTTTCTGAATGACTCTCTGGGGCTAGGGTAAAGGGAGCTGCATTTTTTACAAGTGCTACAAATGATTTTTGTGAATGCTGAGTATTGAACATCACTGCTAAAAAGTTTGCAATGGAGGTCACTACGAAAAGAATCTCCCTTCTAATGTTAGCTCGCAAGATGAGAAATACAGACATTTCAAACATATAAGCTCTGTGGTTGCATCACAACGTGATGATTATTAAAGTTTAAGACTCTTTTCTTTCAGCAGGGGTGGAGAGCAGTAACCATTTCATCTAAAACCAGAGAGATGAAGGCAATATAAATCAAACCCATTCCAGCAGGTTTCATTTGGTCTAATTTCTCTGCAGATATTAATCATTGTACACTCCTGCACAAATGACATCTAACTCCATTTTAACTCAGAATACAGAATACTCACTCTGATTCCTTCTCCAGTGTGTTATTTTGACAATATAAACGAAAATAAATAAATTGGAACAGTGGGTCATCAAGATTGCAAGATGCCAATGATACCAAGACATTAAAGAGAGAAATGGCCCATGCTAAACCTATAACCCAGCATGCAAATTGGCAAAAACATTTATCTGCCACAGAGTCACCAGGGGAAAAAAATAACTTTCATTTTTCCCATGAAAATTGCTACATCAAGTGGAGGTGACAAAGAATTCTTCCTAAAAGTCCACAGAAAGACTCATTAATTCTAGCAAAGATCATCTAGGAAGACCAAGGTTAGTTAGATTCCACAACATGATATCTACTGGCAGAAAGTACCAGCACTCAAGCACTCTGGGTTAAATCATTATGGTAAATACAAAGTTGGAAGTTTAAAACTGTAACAAAGGAAAATGTCTGAGAATCAAAGTTTGGCTCCCATTATGGGAGTTGGTGTCAAGTAATTTTGCAAACCACCATATATGCCTTTTCCTTTTATCACTGGAGCATGTTTTGCTTGGCAGAGACAAAGGACAATCAGAGGGGACTCTATAGGCCAGAGAAGCGAAAGTAACCCAGAACCACAAGGGGTTGATAACAAAGAGGACCCACCATGAAGAGCAGGCATCTGCACTGAGGAATGAAGCTGCCTCTGAATCAAACAGGGGCACCTCAAAAGTGAAAAATTCCATTTGTTTTCTTTTACGAAATGTATATCCCTGAAGTGAATCAGGTCGGGGTAGATGTAGCTATGGGGGAGTAAAGGGCGAAGGGAACATATGATTCGTGCCATTGTTCCCCTTTTATTTTAATTTGCCATGCATGCATTTCCAGTAAGACAACTGCCTACAATCACAAAGGGTAACACCACTGCATATTGCGGAGGTCACTTCACTTGGCTGTTTTATGACCACAAACTCAATGCAGTTTTTTCTTACTGGGGGAGCTCCGGAGAGCACACCAACACAGTGATCTCACAGTTTTCTTTCCTGTCTTCCCCTTTTCCTGCTGAACAGTCTGTTTTTGATAGTGCGTGGGAGGACTTGATAAATATATTCCTGACTCCAGGAGATCCACATACCTGTCAAGAGTGACCTCCCCAATGTCACTGGATTTTAGCATTGCAGGATTTCCCAGGAGGCAACCTAAGTTAGGGTTCTATACCTATGATTCCTCATTCATTTGATCCATCTGATGTTATTAGTTTCTTCATATCAGCAAATTACGACCCTCATCATAACCTATATTCAAGAAGCGAACCACATATATTGTTCTTTCTGGAAATGAACTAAAAGTTCTTAAAACTTTTAAGCTCAGGGAAACAGGTATGAATCGGGATCAATAGAGCATTTAATCCTCTAAGTCACTTACCCAGAAATCATTTCCAATGTGGCAAGCCACCTACACCTCACTTGATAACTTCACTCAAACTAGGACTGAAGGTTTCCATTGACTTGGTGCCTCCTGAGGGCTTTTTACTAAGTCTATATTCATCTCTCTACCATCACCCACACAAATAAACACCTTGCTGCTGTCTTAGGTATTTGGAATATTTGGGTGGGTGTCCGTCTAGAGATGGTCCAGATTAAAAATGTTATTATTGTTTCAACCAGATTTCCTACCACTAGCTTTGTTCACTAGGGGTATAAGGAATACCTAAGCAGAAAAAAATTCATGACAGGTCAAGGGACAGAAAAAGTATGCCATGAACATTGTCTTTGCAGTGTTCGGTTTCCTGTTTAAAGCAGGCAGTGGAAGTAGTGGGTTGACTGACATCTTCCTCCTTCTTTAGTTCTTACTAGTGTATTTCTATCTTCATACCATTAGAGTTAGGTCTTAAATTTAAGGAAATTGGAACTTGGCCATTTTATGTAGATGCCAGACTCCAGTAGGGCCACAAGCATCATCTGACCTAAGTGAGTCTGAAGATATTTTATCTGTCTTCAACTTCTTCTTGACCCGTTAAATTCTGTGATTCTTTGCAGGATCCTCTATTAATAGGATGATGTTGTATTAAGAAACATTGAAAGGAAAGAAGGCATATTGGTAGGGCTTTACAAAACTATGCTGTAGTTAAGAACAAATGCCTGCTAATATATTAATCCATAAAAGAACACCACTTGAATTCATAAATGATAATTCTCTTGACAACTCAACTCCCCAACTTTCTTTTTCACTCCAGTCGAACTTTAAATTCCATTTGAGCCTCAGGATAAGAAAACATTGGCTGAGTCTTTTGCCCAGATGTGAGGGCAAGATTACAAAAATTCAGGAAGATACCCATGTACTAATGGTCACTAATAACAGCAATCAAGAGAGAACCTCCTACATAATAAATGTGCATCAACAAAATATTTCAAGAGGAAGCAATTGGTCATTATTTTCCCTCCTACAGACATCATCCAGTTGCCTTTATTATCTGTGATACATAGATACATACACACACACACACACACACAATAAAAAAACATTAGGAGTGCTTGGCACACAAATAATGATTGACAAATTATTTTTTAAGTTCCCACTGAAACATGGGGAATGCTGAAATTAAAAACTGGTCTTTTAATCTTCATTTACCACGAGCCTATGAAGAAGCTATTGGTACACTAATAGAATACAGAGTCATATGGGTAGATGGCTATTAACACTTTCTTTTTGGCTGTGTCTATATAGGTCAAAGGTGTATTCAAGAAAGATTGTTTAGAAAGCCAAAACCTTAATTCTGAAGCTTTAGTTATCTAGTTGGGCTGGTCATAGACATCAAGGAAATGACAGCCAAATCATAGAACAGGCACAGCCAAATCCCAGAATCCCACAGACAAAACTGGCTACAAGAAAGTAACAATGTAGCCCTGTAGTTTTAAAAAGTTATGAGAAATTATTAGGCCGTGTGTGGAATACAATTCTCTCTTAAAGAAACAAACAAAAGGCCGGACCCTTATTCAAGTACACAGGAACGCCGAGAACCGAATGTGGGTCACATGAAAAGGCCACACCATTAAAACATGGGCAGTAAGTACTCTGAAAACATTGAGAGAAGGAAGGTAACTCAGCTCAGGGTAGAGAAGGCTGAGTGTGGGGTCACTGAGTCATAATTTTTGTGGCAACGAATGTTTGTTTCTTTAATACAAAGAATGTTTTAGGAAGCTCTTCTCACCCTCTCCTAGTGCAGAGAAAGAGCAAAACTGTAAAATGGAGCCTGAGGGTGTTAATTTCAAAATAAGGAAGACAATTTGTTGATGACCAGGGTTACTCGATGTTGGAAAGTGTTGCCAAGAGAGGCTGGGAAATCTTCCCAGAAGGGTTTTAAGAAAGGAGCAGAGGCTCATCTGTGCCTCAATTAGTCGAAGAGAGTGCTGTTGGGAGCAGGGGTGTTCCCTTTAGGATGCCCAGGCCCAGGGGACACGTGCACTGTGTGTATGTACAGACATCGTTGTGCTTGCATCGCACAAATACTCATGCATATGGCGTCAATATAAACTGGCACATAATAGATTTGAGTGAAAAGTCATATAAATCTGCCATTTCCCCCCTTACCCCATGAACAAAAGGGAAAAGGAAAATTTAAAACACCCAGACATATGCCATTGGGCCAGATCTCTTTCTACCACATTCTCATTCAGAGGAGGGAGGTAGAAGATGAGAGAAAAACCCAGTTTGGGATAAAGGACTCCCAAAGCCTCTCAGCTACTCTTCCGTAGCCGGTTCTCATTATACATAAGATACTCAGCATGTGGTATCCAGTTAACAAACAAACAAGGAACCAAAAAGAGATTTTCTTATCATTCCACATCTGGAAAGAAATCTACCCTGTGGATTTAAATGTTAAGGTGAACTAGGTAAATAGGCAGTAGTATATCAATGGGCTACTGTGTTCTAACAAATGTATTGTTAGTTGTTACTTTCCTTTTCAAATATGAATTTTGTTAGGAGCTTTATTTCCAAATGGCGACATGACTCGTTCCTTCTCCCACCCCCGGCCCTCCCCTATAGATGATACTTCCGTAAAAGTTCAGATTGCCAAGGATGTTTTCTCTCTGGGAACCGGTCTGGGATTTTGATCTTTAGGAAATCCTGGATGCATTTCTCCAGCTCTTCCTCAATTGAGAGCTTTTCCTTAACAGCTTTTTTTTTGCTGCTCATGTTCGACTCCCTGGAGCCTGAAGTCAGAGTCCGGAGCAGATCGCTTTTCCGCCGCATCTCGGACTGTTGGACCAGCTGCACGGGGCCCTTCTTGATGGGACGGTCCAGAGTCTGGATGTTGGTCTGGCGTGTCACGGGCCCACAGATGACTGTCTCCTGGGGAGAGCTGGCCTCAGACTGGCTGTCGCAGCTGGACGTGGAGAGGTCGTTGCAAGACGTGCCGCTCTCCCCGTCTTTGTCACCTGCGGCGTTCTTGCAGCAGCAGTCGCAGTGGGAGGGTGACCACCTCGAAGGCTCACCTGCAAGCAAGCACAGCACCCGAGAGGTTAATGCCAGCCAGCTCAGCCTGGAAGAGCAGCACAGCACCTGAACACGCACGCACACACGCACAGTGTCCACAGCCATGTCTTTACAAGAACTGGGGTGGCACACAAGATGGGCTGCAATATGAGTGCCTAAAAGCCAAGTGCACTGAAGGGAGGAAGTTCTAACTGCATGCTGTGCTTCAGTCCACGGGCATTGCAGTCAGCTACTTAGCTACACCATTCACCAACCTTGTCACCTTGGCAGTCCCCCTACATCTTCAAAGTTTCTGTTTCCTCCCCTGGGAGATGAGGATAATCACTTGCCTACTCCCTAGAGTTGTAGGGAGGGTTTAGATAAATCAAGTGAAATTCTTAATGCAGTACGTAGTGCACAGTAAACTCTCAATAAATGCTACTTGATTTTACCATGGCTGGTGTTAAACCCGGATCCAAAGCTCCACGTTATTGCAGTCTGGTACAACAACGGCAGTCTACAAGAGTCAGGGAGGGCTTACTCTGTGCCAGCCCCCACGTAAGCTCTGTGTACCCATCATCTCATGGGAGCCTCATGGTAATTCTATGAGTAGCTCCACTCCTAGATTCCATACAAGGAAACTAAGACCCTGCGAATTTAAGAAACTTGCCCTAGTTTGCACATTTTGTAAGTGGCAGAGCTGGGATTTGAATGCAGATTTCCCAAATACCACAACCAAAGCAATTAACCATTTGTTTTTTTCAACATGTCTGACTGTAAAGTTCCTGCTTTTCTTTAAAAACAATGTTCAAGGTTTAACTTCTCTCTGAAGTGTCTGTTTACCTCTCCTCAGAAATATTTACCATTTTCCTCTCTGAATTACGGTTTTGTTTTGTAAGTGTCTCTAATATTGCACAAATCACATTTTGTTCTCATTCTTTTTTACATTATTCGTCTCAGCTACTCACCACAAACTCCCTGAAGTGGGCACAGTGAAAGTGCCCATTGTTGTCATTCCAGCAAGTAGCTCGGAGTTCGGTGTAGAAACTCAATAAAAGGCTCTACCCTCCTAGTAGTTTTTAAGTACCTGGATTCAGCCACATCTGAAGCTGGTACTGTCAGTGGACTTTGAAGTTACATGATCCACTATATTATATTTAAGCCAGTGTGAGTTCCTCTCTCCCTATTCCCCTCAGTTTTGATTCATAGCCCTGCATTCAGCTATTTGAAGACAGACCCATTTTTCAGATACACAGTTGGTGGCTCCCTGAACTAGAAAATCCACAATTATGGCACAAAGCAAGTTCCTAAATATAAGTCACTTCTCCCAGCCTTCTATCCTCTGAATATTCAGTCTTCTTAGGTCATGAACTTGATACTATTTACTCATCATACATTATATGCTAGGCTCTTTCATATAGTTCATTGCACTTAAGCCATAAAAAATAAAGGAAATGAATCCCCTTTATGATGCTAATATTGAGGACAAGGATAATGTAGTATCTTTATATGTTTAAAAGGAGACCCAGTTTTGATTTGTGCTATATCTTACTCTCATAAATAATGAATCACATTATAATAAAATCCCACTTTACTGCCACCTCTAATATGGTCAAAGTAGAGGAAGCCTAGAATGGAAACTAATAGGAAAGCTATGTCCTGTCTTCTTGTAAAAGGCCTGTCATCTACAGACCTAAATGATTTAAATATTTATGGAAACTTATATATTTTCCAGAGGGAGTAAAAAAAAGTCCCTTGTAAACTGCAACTCCAAAATTATCTCTAAAGTATACTCACTCTTTCAAACCACTTTTTAAAATGTGACTGAGTAATCATTTTATTTATATACCCATTAAATGAAATGCAACAATCCAATTAGCCAAAAGGAATCACCACAGCAATAATGTACTACTTATCCCAGGCTATTACCAATAAATATCTTCCATGCAACAGGGAAACTGCTCAGTACGTACCAGCTGCTGACTGAAAATATCAGCCATAGGAAATGTTTTGTCTGCCAGCCCAGATTATGAGGGTATCATTTTTCTCCTTCCGAAGGCAGAATCTGCCTCTACCTCTCCAAAGCCAGCCATCCCTAGACTAATAGGACTCGATGGAGAAATGGCTCCAATGCGTTGGGTCAAAACAAGGTAATCATAGCAACCCAGACCTGATCTAGTTTGATCCTTTATGAGAAAAGATCAGAAATTGACCTAAGCCTTAAAAAAAAAAAAAAAGGAGTGGGAAGAGGAGACAGACCCAAAGGAGAAGAAGAACTATGTGCTGAGCTATGCCTGCCCATTATCTTAACACAAGATGATGAACTATTTTGCCCATAAACCCTGCTGAACCAGTAGAAATGCAAGTCTGTGTTTTTCTCCCCAAGAGTTACAGTAAAGTCATTTCATGCAGTGGACTTGGAGGGAAACGTAAGGCTTTTCTAAAAGGCAATTTAACAACACAAACACCATCATGGGAGGGAGCCCTACATGTTTATGTGGAAAACTGCACACAACCCTCCACCGCATGTCCAAGCCAAGAACCCAGAGCGGGTATAGCTATTTCCCCTGAACTGCTAGGATGATCATGGATTTAAATGTCAGCTGGGATCCTCCAGCTTCCAGGCAAATAGAAATATTACTTTCTACTTAGTGTAGGAGCTATCACTATCAAAGGGAAATTGAACAACTTAATTTTAGTGGAGCCTGTTATACTACCACATGTTTCAATATTTTATGAGAACATTTTAATGTTTTAACATGTTCGGCAAGACAATTCAAAAGAAGGCTTCGGAAGTCCATATATTAGGTTGAAATCAAGGAAAAGATGGTATGAATGCAGCTGGAGGTCCTGTGTGAAGAGTCATCATGAAATTTACAAACAGTCAAATGTGAGAAGGTAACCACTCTGTTTCTTTTTGGGAAACACTATCTGTCTCATTACCCCCTTCCCAAGAACTTAACCAGAGCAGAGGTTTTAAACCACAGCTGAGAAATAATGTGTGTGGACAGTGGACCCGTTTGCCCTTGCAGCCCCACTGACATGTGCTCACCAGTCCTGGCAGAGGTGGAAGGAGCTGTGAAAGGTCAATTCTGTAACTCAAGGTATTCTAGAATCCCCCCAATTATAGCAAATTATGATCTCATAAATACCTTGGTACTTCAAACTATAATATGCTTTTGCTTCCAATCAGCTGAGGTTTCAATACAGGCTGGAATAATTCTCTCCATTTGAAGTGAAGATAGGTTACAACTGATTAGCCAGATATGGGAAGAAAACCATTTCATCCCAAGAAAAGTCTGATTTATTGATATTAAAAAGGCAAAAAAATCTGTCTTTTGAGGGGTTTATTAACAGGCTTGTGGTCAAAAAGCACAATAGCTCTACTTTATTTTTAAATAAACCATTGCTTAATTTGTTGGATATTATATTATTTTTGGTGCCTGGCACATAACACAGGTTTGATTAACTGCTGAATGAACAAATGAGCCAAACACATGTGTTGAATTGTATCAAGATCATAATGTAGCAGCACAGATTGTGGACTCCAGAGTCAGGTCCCACGATTTGTCAGTTTGGATAAATTACTTCACCTCTCTGAGCCTTAATTTTCTCATCTAAAAAGTAATGCTAATAATAGTATCTCCCTCACAGAGGTTTTAGAAAAATGAAACGAGACAATTAACGTAAAGGTGTTTCATGGTTTGAAGCGCCCACTAAGTGTTCCATTCGTTCATACCTATTTGCTCTACTAAAAGCCAGGCACTAAGCTACATAAACAACACAAAGGAGGAGCCTGTTAGATAGGATTTGGTATGTTTCCCCCAACATGCTCTACAACCAATTCTCAGGTCCGGCTGGAACATCAGGTGAGGAAGGACACTGATGCTGACACTGGACTCATCAAGGAAATGTATAATGACATTTAGTAACATCTGGATTTTCTGTGGGAGTGGAGAGTAACTACAAGCACATGCAGTGTCTGGCACATAGTATGTGATCAGGGGATAGTTTTGGAAAGAAGTTTCCTTTACTGTACAGTGCTTACAATTTCACAAATGGATGAGTCTTCTGAAATAAGAATTTGCTTGAAGACACGTAAAATAATTTAAACCCAGAGCCAGGAGTAATCTGTATTTTGGATTAAAGAGGGGAGGAGCAGGACCCTCAATCGCCCTAAGTCCTTAAAGTTCAAATCTTCCAACATTTTACAACTTTGAAAAACTGAGGACCAATCAGGCAAGCTGTATGATTGTACGTGGCCCCTTTCGGCTATAGTCCCAACTGCAGAAGTCCTTACTGATAAAGAAGGAATAAAAGAGGAAAGACTACAGAATACTTCTCCCCTATGAAAAATTCAAACTGAGCTGAGTGAAACATGACTTAGCAAACTCACAAAGTGCTTATGCATTTTTAAAAGAGGCAGCTCTGCAATCTACCCACACTTCAAATTCTCCACCTGCTAATGGTTGTGAACACAATGCACATCATTTACAGCAACAGCTGGGAAAACTGCTTTCCCCTATCTTCTCTGTCAATGATGTAGGAGCCTGCCAGTCTGGGAGCTAGGTGGCCCGATCTAATTTATTGAGGCTGCTGAAAGACTTTCTTGGTATCCCAGTTGAAAAGTCAATAATGGCCAAATTGATGTTTTTATAATTCTGCTAACCTTGGAGAAGATATTTCATAGTAGAGATTGGGAATAGGCAGGCTGTGCAAGCTTCTGAGAAAGTACATTTTCCAGCTTGATAATCATCCTTTCTTGTTTCCTTTTCCACTCATGGACATTTGGCCTTGGATGGGCCCAGCTGGGGCTCCTCATTAAGAGGAGGCAAATTTGGGTAAGAGCAGACAGTTAAATCATTCATGCATCAGTCAGGGCTAGTCAAGAAAACAGGCACTGCACCTGTAATCTTCATAGGGAGAATTTAATATAAGGAATTGGTAAAACAGGTACTGGAGGGGGTGAAAAAAATGCAAAAAGAGAACACTGAAGAGACAACTACAGTGACTGTAGGAG